ACTCCATACATAAAACAACCCTTACAACCTGAACTCCATGTTATTGTTAAAATGATAAAAAGAAACTAAAAATATTTCACCAAAACAGAAAGTTACAGAAATATAGAACTGATGGCTTACCTTATGGGACAAAAACCAGTCAAATAGTTGGTGGATATTGTAATATTGTTAGTAACATAGTGTGATGAACGCTGGATATAAAACAGTTGTTGATTGTTGGTGAGTTCTCGTCAAGTATTATAGAGTTTAGGTTATAAGGAAACTGTTCATGAATGGAGAGTTAGTTTGTGGGGAGTTTTACTCATGAATGGAGAGTTAGTTTGTGGGGAGTTTTATTCGTGAATGAAAAAACTCTCGGAACTCATCTTAGAGTCCAGTTTATGTAGACTTTTATCATAGATGGAGTTCTCATGGAGTTTAGGTTGTAAGGGTTGTATTAAGGATGGAGTTCTCATGGAGTTTAGGTTGTAAGGGTTGTATTAAGGATGTAGTCATCATGGAGTTCAGGTTTTAAGGGTTGTATTAAGGATGGAGTTCTCATGGAGTTTAGGTTGTAAGGGTTGTATTATGGATGGGGTCTTCATGGAGTTCAGGTTGTAAGGGTTGTATTAAGGATGGAGTTCTCATGGAGTTTAGGTTTTAAGGGTTGTATTATGGATGGAATCTTCATGGAGTTCAGGTTGTAAGGGTTGTTTTATGGATGGAGTCATCATAGAGTTCAGGTTGTAAGGGTTGTTTTATGGTGGAGTCATTTGTTAAATGATGTATAGTTATGTATCTTTAATGGAGGGTACTACGTCTATAATAGACGTAGTACCCTCCATTAAAGGATCATAACTATACATCATTTAACAATAATAGACGTAGTACCCTCCATTAAAGGATGTATAACTATACATCCTAGAATCCGGATTTCGATACCCGTGGTGGGCAGAGCACAGATAGCCCATTGTGTAGCTGTGTGCTTAATTTCAAACAAACAAACATACTCTAAAAATAAACAAAGTTTGCGTCATAAAAAATCTGAGCTGGCAATAATGACCATTTTTTATAATTTTCGAAATCGCTTTTTGAATTTCTTAAATAATAATTGTTCTGAAAAATAATAATTTATTGTTTAAAGAAATCAAAACTAATAAAACATATTTACTTCATTTTAACTTTTATCCTGATATCATTTTGTAACAATGATGAAATTTGAAATTAAAATTCAATGGGATAAGAGACGGGTCGTGCGTAGCCTAGCAGTCAGCGTACCTGGAATGTAACTTTATAAGTGTTTATGGTTCGCGTCCCGTTGCCGTAAAAGTGCGCTTAAGAGTTACAGTCAAATCCAACTATTGGAGTAGACAAGAGTGTTTTATACGTTCTGTTGATAAGCTGCTTTCCATCTGGCCTGTTAATTCAAAACTAAGAAAGACTATGCGCAGAAAACCCTTTGTGTAGCTCTGCGCAAAAAATTGGTGGTTTGTTTTAGCACAACTCTACATAATAGACCATGTATGCTCTGTCCATTGTGGAAAATTGAACCCCGGATTATAGCATTATACGTTTGTAATCTACCACTAACCCACTGTTGGACCACATACAATATGCTAAGAGACAAATATCGATCTACATACTCGAGCAACTTTTTTTATATTAAAATTATTTTCATTAAGTAAATTAAGTCTTAAAACTTAACTGGTATCAGAAGTGGGTACAATATTTTTTTTTAAATTGTTAACACTAAAATAATATAAATGAATGGTAAACTGTACCATATAAAACAGTATAATTTCTGTTTGAAGTTTGGTTGTTGTTGGCTAGGAGTAAAGTATTAATTTAGAGTTTTTATTTAATTTCAGGCTCAGGTCAGTCAGACCTGCAATTCAAGAGAGAACCGTCTTCCCTGATGTATGATCCAAGTGTGAATCGTGCCGTATTTCGTTGTTCAGTAGCTCCAGCCAATGCTGAGGTTAACTGGTTATGGAACGGAAAACTTGTAAATAATTCGTTAAATTATTTAAAGTTCAAAGAAAACAGGAGAAAACTAATAGTAGCGTTCCCTAGTGGCGGAAAATGGTTCCTAGAAAAACAAAAAGAAAATATATTTCAGTGTGTTGTTTCATTAGGAGGAAAGGCATTAGTCAGTCGACCAGCAAAGCTTATAGTTTCAGGTAAGTTCAGAAATGTGCCATAATCGCCTCCTGGTGGAAATTTTATGAACTGCTATTGGTTCTGAAGAGTTAAATGAGCCATCGATGATTTGATGTCAGGTATATATAAAAATGGTAGAGCGAATGTCAACAAAAAGGCTTAACTGTAGAATACATGTTTGATTAAAAGTGATATCAATCATCTTTCAAAGACTGAGGCAAAAATTTCACAAGAAAGATTTTTTGTTTGTGTTTATCTCATAAAATCAACTCGAACTGACTTCTTTCAAGCGTGAAAAGAAGTATAAAAAAGAAGCGAGGCTAATGTCAAAGGATATTTCTATTTCTGAACTTTAAGTAGTAAAAGTTTGTAACTTGACCATCAGATAATAAAACTTTTGTTAACTCCAGTTTCATAAATTGTGCTATAAACTAAAAAAAACAACAGACGTGATAGAAGAGTTAGTTTATTTAGTTTCTGCCCATCCCACCTTTCTTCTCCATCCTTAAAGATGTGTTTTAGTAATTTATTTTAAAAAATGATTATTAATCGAGTAACATTCAAAATCCAAATTCCATTTGTCCACGAATGACGTAAGATTGTTTGTCAAATGTTAACTACAGTTCTTGTGAATACAAATCGATCTATAGAAACAGCACGTGAAGCTATTAACCAGTTCTTTTGTATCTTGGAAGTAAGCTTTGATTACATTTTTTATGAGAAGTTTCTTTAATAGTATTGGTTAAATGTTTAACATATATGTGTGTATATAAACATTAATACACTTATGAGTATTATTCTCCACAGCTAACTTAGTAAATGGGTTTAGGACTAACCCAACTCTCCTAACCTAACTAAATCTCGACAGATATGATTGGGTTTACGGCCGAAAATGTAACTACTAGTTACGCTGGTCAATATATTAACTAGATACAATGGTCAATAAGGTACTTGTTCGTTTTAATTTTTGTTGACAGCTTGTTTATGTCAATAATTAGCTCCCCACACTTACGTAAATGCCTGCTTTTACAGTACGTAAACACAAGTTATCGGGGGAGTATATAGCTCCCCACGACATGGGGGATTATGGTTAGTTCTTTATTGAAGTCATAACTTACTGTATTTTTCCTCCACCAGAGCTAAGTTCGTTCCCTCCTCAAGAAGACGTCCGTCTTTCTGTTGTTGTTGGTAACGTTGCTGTGATACCTTGTAAGCCTCCGCCTGGTGTTCCTCGCGTCATTACAAAGTTTGTCTTCGACAACAGAAACATAGACAAAACTGAAGGTACTACGTCTGTTATTGTTAATTCCTCTAATATTCCAACTTATCATTTTTTGCGAAGTGGTTCCCTCTGACTAAGGTATAACTATAATAATGTCTTTTTTAAACAAATAAATATGTAATGAAATGACAAGCACTGCTGTGATCAATATAGTTGAACTTCCCTTAAAAATTTTCGCCAACGAGTTAAAGTAGAAAGAACGCCAGAAAAGTAGATTAGTAGAGAGAAGTGAGAGCAAGATACCGATATTATATTAATCACTGTGTCTTAGCTTCTACATGTCCCCCAGTGTGTTTGGTTCCTCCCAATGGACACAGCAGATAACCCACTTTAGCTTTACTCTAAAAATGCCCCCCAGTAGAACAGCGGTATTTTTACAATGTTTCTCTTTTATACTGTACTGTTGATATTAACAAACAATTACTGGATGATATAGAGGACCAAACTGTTTTCTTTACACTAACAACGTCAAGCTGGGATGCGCTGTAAAGAAAAGAAAACAAAACTGTCTAAATGTGTCATATTTCACGTGGAAAAACCGTTTATAACTTTAAGACCAGTAATTCGTTTCTTTATGTCTCCGAGTGACACGTTTAATAAACAAACAGACATAACCAGTAATTCGTTGTTTTATGTTTCCTACTCAGAAGCCACCAGATGTAATTATGACCGAGCCGATGACAACAATGATGCCCCGAAGATCTCGAACAATCTCAACGAATCGACACGGTTGCTATGTTTGGTGCTGTTTCTACTTGTTGTTCCAAAATAGTGAGTTTTCAGTCAGTCAGTCAGTAGACACTAAAGTGACGTCACATAAGGGATGCTTACGTTTCAATTTATACTGTTGTGACGTCAGTAAAACGTGTGCGTGCCATGAATCACGAGAAAAATTATGCATTCTGTAGGCTACAACACAGCATGATATATATGAACTTGAAAATAAATAAATAAAACTATTTTTACGTTTAATTCTAGTTTTATTAACTCTTGAAACAGAGAACTTTCAGAGACCCAGCGGATGTATATTGTTAATAATGGTTTACTCCAGTGTGTAGACCAAGAGAATAACATTGTTAAAATAATGTACCATTTACACACCAAACAATGTTATATTAACAATACTCTATATGGATCACTTTGTTGGAAGAAATAAAAGAAAATACTGTGATTATAACGCTATATTATCAATCAATAATTTATAACGAAAACAAAAATAATGTATTTACTTGTGTATGATTAATTGCAATATTTGGTAAATGCTTTTTATTTAAACTTTTATGTGCAATCCCTATTTTACTGTCACCCCGTGGTTCAGCGCTAAAATCCGGGGTTGGATTCCCTGTGGAGAACAGAGGGTAGATAGACTATTAAGTAGTTCTGCCCTAAAACAAATAAACACACATATTTTGCTAGAAATCCTGTAAACAACATTAATATAGACCCACAAGCAAGTTGCTTAGAAAAAATCTCACCCGATTGGATCTCAACCTGATCGTAATTCTAGGGTTAGTAACTATCAAAGCTTAGAAGACCTGTTTGTTTGTTTTCACCTAAACGGTTTGGTTACAGCAACTTGTAGTTTACTGTGAGACGTTGTTAAGGTGTCAGTTCTGATTGTACACATACATACATACACAAGACCCCACATCATTCAAGATACTCTAGAGTGTTTAGTCACGTGCTTGTAACTTCTTCTTAAGAACGTGGGCGTGGCTTTAGCTTGTCGTTCATTTCGGCTAGTGAACTTTATCGTAGACCAAACCACTAGAGTTAAGGTTCAGAAGTGAGAGATATATGACAAAACTTTAACAAGCTTCTTAATGTTAGGGTATTATCTATGTGTCTTTATTAATGTTAGGGCTATTATCTATGTGTCTATTAATGTTAGGGCTATTATCTATGTGTCTTTATAATGTTAGGGTTATTATCTATGTGTCTTTATTAATGTTAGGGCTATTATCTATGTGTCTTTATTAATGTTAGGGTTATTATCTATGTGTCTTTATTAATGTTAGGGTTATTATCTATGTGTCTTTATTAATGTTAGGGCTATTATCTATGTGTCTTTATCAATGTTAGGGTTATTATCTATGTGTCTTTATTAACGTTTGGACTATTATCTATCTTTCTTTATTAATGTTGGGGTTATTCACATTAATACTGGGGTTATCCATGTGTCTTTATTAATGTTAGGGCTATTATCTATGTGTCTTTATTAATGTTAGGGATATTATCTATGTGTCTTTATTAATGTTA